TTGTGGGAACCCCTAAATTGTAGCCAATCGGACAGAAGTGTGGGTGACCTTGGAATCCACTACCAGTGACTTGACTGGTGTCTGAAGTGGGGACAGTCTTGTGAGACTGAGCCCTTAACCTGCCGAATATGATATTAATTCTCGGCAGATAGCGTCAGAATTGAATTGTAGCACACCTGGATAGTGTTGGTGAATTGGTTGGTATGGGAAACACACACATACACACACGTTGGAGTTAAAAGTTTCATGAGTAGGATGTGAAGGAAACAGAAGTTTTTCTTTTTAATAGGGCAAGAATATTCCAAGCAGAGGAAATGGAAAGGGTGAAAAGCATGAAGGAGTGAGCTTGAGGCTTGTGTGAGAATCAAAGGAATTTCAGAGGCTGGGACTGGGGTCTGTGGACGAGGGGTCGGGGAAGAGGCTGAAGAAGTAGGGCTGAATGGAAGGCTTTTGGAGGCTGAGGAGCTTGCAGTTTTATCTGAAGCTGTTGATTAGCGGTAAGCAAGGGGTTGACAGCATCAGATCTATGTCTTGGCAAAATCACTCTGGCTGAAGCATGGAGAATGGATGGGAGAGGGACCAATTAAGGCAGGTGTTGGCAAACGGGCCGGTGGATCTGTTTTTGTAGCCACTGTGAACTAAGGATGGCTTTTGCATTTTTATTTGTTTTATTTTATTTATTATTATTATTTTTTAGGCCAGGCAATCCTTGGTTGACCTCACAGATTGCAAGGACCTCGTCAGTTTATAATCCCTTATTTTTTATTTTTCACGCCTACAGTATCTGGTCTTCCTAGGTGGTCTCCCATCCAAGTACTAACCAGGCCCGAACCTGCTTAGCTTCCAAGATCAGAAGGGATCAGGCTTGTTCAGGGTGGCATGGCTGTAGACTGGCTTTTATATTTTTAAATGGCTGAAAACCAATCAAAAGAAGAATGACTTCTTTGTGACTCATGAAAATGATATAAAATTAAAATCCCAGTGAAATTCAAATAAAGTTTTATTGGAACACAGCCATGTTATTCACTTTGTATTGTTTCTGGCTACTTTTGACTGCAGTGACAGGGTTGAATAGCTGGGACAGAGACTAAAATACTTAAATATCTACATAGTATCCTTAATTTTGCCTCTTGCCCCATAGATCCTAAAATATTTACTCTCTGGCCCTTTAGAGAAGTTTGCTATCCTCTGAGTTTAGGGATTATTTTAGCATTTTAGGCAAGAGACTGCACCAGGATAGCGACAGTGTGAATGGCGAACATTGGATGAATTTGAGAACTATTCGGGAGGTAGACAGACTGATTGGGAGAACGGGGGGTGAAATGAGGAGTCTCAAACGACTCCCAGATCTCTGGATTGAGCACTGAGTGAATGGGGGTGCTAGCCAGGCCGGGAATGCCAAGAGAGAGAGTGGAACTAAGGGGTGGGGGCGACATCAGGGCCGGGGGGAAGAGTGAGAATAGTTCTCAGGCCTATTTTGTGTGATTCCTGGAGTTATGCTGTTCTTGTGTTACCGAAGATGCTAAGGACAGCCTCTTCAAACCCTTTCGGGCTGGTGCGGGGCACCTGGCATTTGAAAGGCTTTGTACTGTGAAGGCGAGCAAGTACCTGTCTGAATTTCCAGTTTGGTTAGCATCAGTTCTATCAAATCAGAGCCAGGCTCCAAAAAATGAAATCAAGGATCTCAAAAGCCTGGGGAGGCACAGGGAGAATGTGGAGTTGTCCCTAAGTGCCAAGTCTCTCCTCATCCATCGCCCAGTTGTCTGGCGAGGTTGGCATACTGGGGAGAAGGAGGGCCTGCCTCCCGCAACTTTAGAGTAGCAGCCCGGTGAGCTGAT